GCTGGGGAGCCCGTAGGTTACCGGGTAGAGCTGACTTCTAGGGAATCTCTTGGCTCTGATCTTTACTGCCAGGTAGCCGGGACTGTCTTCCATAGTGTCACGGGATGCGTTTGGACTCTCAGTCTTCTCTGAGTGCACCACCGGGGACCCTATGCCCTCCATGGTACCATCTCATTCGTTAGAGTGCCCATCTGCTATCTTCCTCCCTCCATGTGTGTCGGGTCCAGCACACGGTCAAGCGGGGCCAAAGAGCAACACGCACAATTACAGAAGACAGGGAAGGGGCTGGAGGGGACTCAACTCCATTCTCGGGAGAAGCGAGAAGGTGGAGAAAAGCCCAGCGGTTAGTCAACAATGTTTTGTTTTTGAAGCAGTTTCATTAGTGCTTCAGCCACACATTATACAATTCAATCATTCAATCATAGCAAGAAGAATTACACAGTTGTCACCATATTCAATCCTAGAACATCCGCTTCTTCCCTGTAGTGACTGTCATTCATGTAATTACTTATTGTCTAATTGTGCCAAAAATATACACAGCAGAGCATTCCCTAATTCCACGGGTCCTTGTGGAATTCAGAGTCATTGATTACACTCTTTGTGTTGCGCAACCATGACTGATATCCTTTTACCAAGTGTTCTACCGCCATTGACATAAAGCCAATGCCCTCGATGTAACGGCTCATTCCCTTTCACCGGTGCTAACCATTGGTCAAGTTCGGCTGCTTTTTTTTAGTACTTTTATTGATAGAGTATTCACATACCATACACTTTCGTGGGAAAATCGCTTTTAAAATGAGTTGTATCATCACAATCCGTTCTAGTGCTCTCCACCCCTCCTGCATTCATTCTTTGCTCTTCAAATCTCCTCGGGCCTCCCGGTCCCCCACCCCCACAGCCCCTATAAACCATTGCACCCAGTTATTATCTCTATGCATCTACCCCTTCTGCGCTTCACAAACTGGAAAACCTAACAGAAACAATAAAAACCCAACCCAAAATAAAGGGCTAAGGATAAAATAGCAATAATGTATAAATACAAATGCAAATAAGAGAGAAGAGATCCCCATCAATATTTTAAAGGCCAGGGAAGACATTTTTGTCTTGGAATAAGCAAGGAATACTTGCACCTAGAACAAATTCAGGTTGGGTCAAGAGGGAGGTCAACTGACCCAAGTCTCAAGTTCGATCCAGCATAATCAAATTGACGATGCTCTCTGTCTGATGGGCCTGTTCTAGACCCTTGCCTGTGGCCAGAGGGGATCTGCCAGAAACTTCATCTGACTAGGTAGTCTGCAGATGGGTTTGGGGCTTCCGCTGTCCTCCTTAAATGGCCTTTGCCATTTAAGCTCGGATACTTTTCCCTTCGTCATATTTGGGTTTTGTGATTTCATCTTGGGATCACACAGGCTGGTGTGCTTCTTCGATGTGGACTTAGCTGACCCCTCACTTAGATGGCTGCTGGTTTGAATACAAGGCTTTAAGACCCAAGTCACGATTCCAATTGATAGCCAGGCACCCTCTGCTTTCTTCACCACACTTTGCTGTAGCTCCCTTAGCTTCAGTGATCACTTCCTGAAGGGGAGGTAATCAGAACTAGCTGTTCTTTGATTGGGGCCAGAATCCATCTGTTTGTCCATGAGTTAGGCATGACTGGGGTTTACTTTGTGGTTGTCTTATGACAAAACAAAACTCCGTGAGACCAACTCCACACACAACAGCAACAAACAAACAAAAACAAAGACAAACAAACGAAAGGCAGGAAAAGAAAAAAGAGAAACCTTGTCAAGCAGCCCCCTAGGGGCTAAGACGATTGCATTGATGAGATCAACAATTTTTCCAATGACACGGAACTCCAGACACTGTCGGTAGGAGGAGTCCATGGGAGTGCAGTTCCACTGTGAGCCACGATCAGTTTGACTTCCTAATCGATGGAGCTCTGCCTACCCTGGGGATTGGTGCCAGGGGGAAGCTTCCTGTCTCAATTCTTACAAGTGTAGCTTCCTGCCCAACAGCTCAAAGCCTGTCATATCAAATGCAAGGTGGGCACAGAGGTACTAAATACATGGTGATTCTGGGTCCCTTTACATTGTACTCTGTGATAGGTAAGGTTTATTGTGCCAACTGGACGGTATTCACAAGTGGGGTGAATGGAAGGGCAGAGAGATAAATGGCTCGGTGAGCCTCGCCTTCCTCGTTTTCTGGTCTCTTGCTTTCTGATGGCTGGACCAGTGTGTGGCTGCCTTAGCTAGTTCTTTTCCTCAGCTGGCAAGGCTCACTTCCTGCCAGACATCCCTGAGGAGAAGCCACGTGGACCTACCCTGATGCAGCCCTGGGTGCTGGAGCAGCACGTGGAGACCCCTGCCACCGCTGAGATGCTGACACGCTCCCTGACTTGGCTTTCCTCCTGCAGTCGGCGTCATTGCATGTGTTTTGTGAGATGGAGGAGGACTTTGTAGATTGGTGCGGACATATGGGCTAATGTCAGACTTACGGGCTTGGACTGGACTGGGTTGGGCTGCTTTCTTAATGTACACTTACCTTTTATATAGCACTCTCTCTTATACATATGAGTTTCTGTGGGGTTGTTCCTCTAGTCTACCCAGACTCACACATACACCCACAAAGCCAGGGGTTACCTTGAAGGTCCAATAGCTGCCACTTCCACAGCCCCGGGATGGCCACTCTCTGCTTCCTCTCCCATGTAAGTACCCCAGTCCTCAGCCCAAGGGTGCAGGCAGCTTCCAGGAAGGGCTCAAGCCATTCATTTGGGTCTCTCTGTTGAGTTTCTCTGGGGTGGGCCCTGGGGGATGCCATGCTGCCTGCGAGGCTGGCATCCAAGGGCATCGTGGTGCTTAGACCATGGCATGGTTCACCGAGGGTTTGGTAGAAACGTAGTTGCAGTGTCTACCCAGGAACATGAAATCTGTCCCAGTGTCCCCCTGGCTTCCCTACACTCACTGTTTAGTATCCCTTCCCACCATGAGGTTGCTCCGCCCCACTCACCCACCACATTCACCAGCAGAACTATCAGTGTCTCTTGTAAATCGTGGATGTTCCTGGAGACCAGGAGACCCCCTGGTTTGGGCTTGATTTTCCAGTACGGTGGTTCTCTCATTCCTGTGGAGGGCCTGTTGGTTTGTCGCAGCTTTATCTCAATGTTGTAGAGCACCAAGCTTTCCCCCCTTCTTTAAGAAGTGACCCCCAGCCGATGTGAGATGTCCTCTTTCAAGGTGGTTCTTAGAAGTGCACACAAGGAGGGTAATGTATGGTTCATGGCTGGTAGGCAGGCATGCTACCCCTTTGTTTGGGAATTGATCCCTAAGATTTGTTTAATTGGTGCTTCTCCGGATCAGAGTGGATCCATAGAACAGTTGTTCATCACTGCTTTGTAGGGATGCATCGTATTCCATTGTGCATACGTACCATAGTTTACCCATTCCTACCCTGTTGGGCATTTGGGCTGCTTCCCATTTCTTGCGATTGTGAACTGTGCTGCTGTGAACATGCAAGAACACACCTCCACTTGTGTGGTGTCTCTGGTTTCTTTAGGGTAGATGCCTAATAGGGGTCTGGCTGGATCCCGTGGGATTTCAATCCCCAGTTGCGTTAAGTATCAGCGAATCATTTTCCACAGTGGCTGCATGTATTTACAAGTCCACCAACAGTGTAGACAAGCCCCAATCTCTCCACAGCCTCTCTAGCCTTTGGGGCTTTCTTTCTTTCTGTTTTTTCGATCGGGGCCGGCATTGCAGGTGTAACGTGGTGTCGCACGGTGGTTTTCATTGGCATGGCTGGTGATCGTGAGCATTTTCCATCGTGTGTCAGCCATTTGTCGTTCATTTGTGGTAAACGGTCTGTTCGTGTCTGTTTCCCATTTCCGAACTGGGTCGTTTGTTATTTTCATACTGAGCTGTTGCCGAGTTCTGTATATCTTGGTCATTGGCCCTTTTCCTGATGTGTGGTCATTGGTTAAAAAAAAAATTCCCAATCTGTGGGCTCTCATTTTACTCTCCGACGAAGCCTTTGGATGTGCATAAGCGATGTAATTTCACATGTCCCAGTCATCTATCTTGTCTTCTGCTGAGTGTGCCTCCTACTAGCCCATCTTGAGTTCGTCTTTGTGCCTGGGGAAAGGCATTGGTCTTGTTTCATTCTGCTACATATGGGCCCCAGCTTGTCCAACACCCTTTGTTGAAGATGCTGTCTTTGACCCTATGGGACATTTTTAGGCCCTTTGTCAAAGATTAGTTGCCTGTAGGCTGATGTGCGGTGGGGTTTTGTAGCTCTTGAGGCCCGCCAGCCTCTCCTTAATCATATACATCAGCCCAGGTGGCGGTGTACTCACCTTGGTATTCCAAGCATTCAGAGAGAATGCTTCAAAGGACAAACCATACAGGAGACAAGAGGAGCAAATGTTCTTTGAGATAAGTGTGTCTTCCCTGAAATGCCAGATGAGTCAAGCATCTGTCCAACACAAGCATCTGTCCACCTGCCTTAAGGTGCTTTTTCCGCATGTTTGGGAGGCATGCATCATGGTAGAGATGGCGTGCCACTCTGTGGTCACCAGTGCTGGGAGCAGACCATGTACCCAGGTGCATGGGTGCAGTTTCCCACACCCATGGAGACCAGCCTCCCAAGGGCAGGGCCTTCAGACTCATCTACTGCAGGGTCCCTGAGCCTGGAACAGTGCCCAGCACCCAGGACTCGCCCCCTAAGACTTGGCGATGCGACCAAAGAGCAGCTGAGAGGGGAGCCACCTGAGTCACATTCTCAGAACCTGCTGGAAAGAGTGAGCCATGGTGTGAGTGAGAGTGAGTCTGGCCCTGGGTGGGTGGAGGACAGGAAGGAGGGGAAGGCGTGTAGGGGAAAGGGGTGGGGCTAAACCCTAGTTCTAAAGGCCTTTGAGCACCCAGCCTGCAGCATACCAGTGAAGGGCTTGTTGGGCAACCCCGGTTTCCTCCAAGACCACAAGACACAGCGCGCCAGTGTGCTGTGGCATGGAAGACCCAGTGGTGCGGCCTTCGGTGTTCGTGGTAGATGGACAGACTGGCATCCCATTCACCAGGCTGGGGCGCGGCCATCAGAGCCGAGCCTGCAGTGCTGGTCAGCTGGGCCTGGGCCTTCTGTTGCTGCTTCTGTGCATAGGGCTGGCCTTGCAGGGCTGGTTCCTGCTGCACCTGCACTGGCGGCTGGACAGGGTGGATGTGCTCCTACCGGTGAGTGGGGCTGGGGGCTCCCGGGTCCCTGTGCATCTGGATGGGGTGGGGGGTGGGCGTGGCGGTGCATGTGCACAGGATTAGGGATTGTCCAGCTCAGAGCTCGGGGCCAGTGAACTCACGTCCCGGGTTGCCAGGGAATGGGTGGAGAAGCAACATGGGTGTTCTAAATCGGACGGTGGTAGTGACTCTTTGTACTCTGTTCCAACCACTGGGCTGGAAGGTACGTGAATGATATGCCAATAAAATAAAGCTATAAAAATAGGTTGCATAGCTTCTCTCTTCAAAAATTATAAAACTGTAAAAAAGTTAACAGAAACGGCATGGGTGGTGCCCAGCAGTGAGTGGCTGCTTGTAGAAGCCCCGTGAATAGGCGTTGACATGAATAGTGTGGGCTAGTGGTCGTCTGGGCTCCAGAGGGTTTCAGGGCCATGAACTTTGGTAAGCAGACCACCGAGACTTTCTTGCAAGACCCCTCTGGGTGGTTTCAACAGCCACCCTCTAGGTTGGTATCAGAATGCCTAACTGTTTGCTTCACCAGGAGCTCCTAGTATTCCTATCAGTTATTATTGTGATCAGCCTCCCTATTATCATCTAAGGAGCCCTGGTGGTGTGCAGTGAACCCTCGTTTATCGCGGTTCATCTGTTCTAGACCCTACCGTGATAAATGAAATTCCGCGAAGTAGGATTCCTTATTTGTAAATCAAATATTTTCGTAGTTAGAGCATAGAGGACATGAAAAAACACCCTCTAGTCACCATGACACTCGTATTACCCAATTTATTAAACGAAAAAGGGAAAATACAGTAAAACATTTTGGACGTTACAATGATCATTTATTATTTATTATATTATTTATGGCATCAAGCGTGTACAGTATGAGCCAATCGGTGGCAGTCATGACAGAGCATGCGCTGTGACGCAAAAACCGCGATAGAGTGAAGCCGCGGAAGTCGAAGCGCGAAGTGGCGAGGGTTCACTGTAGTGGGTTACGCCTTGGTTTGCTAACTGCAGGCTCAGCAGTTCGAAACCACCAGTCGCTCCTTGGAAGAAAGATGAGGCTTTCTACTCCCATTTCCAGTCTCAGAAACCCACGGGGGCAGTTCTACCCTGCCCTGTAGGGTCGCCATGAGTCCGCATCGACGAGGGCAATGAGTTTGATTTGATTTGGGTTATCACCCGGGGGTGGGGATGGGGGGAGGTTGACAGCTTGTCCTTTTTGAGCATCTGTGTCAGTTTCTGGTTTGGCTGGGGACCTGTCTGTCAGCTGTGTCCGTGAGTCTACGTATCCAGGGCTGTGACCGGGCGATCTTGTCTCTGTGCCCTTCTGCTGGTGCCTAGATCCTGTGCCCATGTCTCCTTCCATGTGTCCATGTGCTCGTCCACGTGTCCATGTCTGTCCCCATGCCTTCGAGGAGATGGATGGACACTGTGGCTACAATGGGCTCAGGCATAGGATGGCTCAGGACCGGCCGTGTCTTGTTCTGTTGTGCATAAGGTCACTATGGGTGGAAACCGACTCCATGCCACCTGTGACCCGTGTGGTCATCCTGTGTCCAAGTATCCACCCGGCCACCCGGCCACAGTCTGTGCATTGGTGCCGGTCTGTGCGCACACCAGTCTGCTGTGGGTGTCTGGAACTACAGACACGTGGGATCCACCAACCGGAGGCCCCCGTGTGTCTTGTCTGGGTCAATGTCTGGGTCTGTGCCCGGGGCCACGCCGAGTCCCCCGGCCAGCTGTAGTCCAGGTGCTTGTGTCCACGTAGCCCAGGTTTGCCTCGTTTTACTCGCTCAGTTAGCACGCCCCACGTGGAAGCAGCCTGCCCGTCAGTGCGGTGGCGCCTCCAGGTTACGACGGACTAGGAAGACTAGGAGGAAAGGCCTGGAGGTCCCCTTCTGAATCCAGCCCAGGGACCACAGTGGTCGGCTCCGTAGCAGATGAAAGAGGCAGCACAGGACTGAGAAGGAGCTTCTTCCGCGCTGCACTGGGCTCCTTGGGGGCGGGGAGGTGGGGGAGGAGGGCGGGGAGGTGGGGGAGGAGGGCGGGGCCACGACCTGACCACAGCCACAGGTGCCGAGGACTGGCGGTGTTTCCACGAATCCATTCCTCACGCCCTAAGCAGATCCCCTCCATCTCTCAGAGGGGGAAACTGAGGCCCAGAGAGGCATTGGGGCCGCCAGGCTAGGAGGTGTGCATGCGGCTCTGTGCGCACACCTGAGGGTGGCGCCTGGCATCGGTACAGCTCACAGCCACCTGTCTGTGATGCGGAAAGGCGCCTGGGTGGCACCGTGGTTAAAGCGCTCAGCTGCTCACCCAAAGGCTGGAGGTTCAAACCCACCAGGTGCTCCCTTCGTGGGAGAAAGAAGAGGCTGTCTGCTCCGTGAGGATGGCCACCTCGGGAGCCCTCTGGGGCAGTACGACTCAGTCCCGTGGGGTCGCCACGAGTTGGTATTGACTCCCCAGCAGTGGGTTTGGGGTGGTGTAGGGGTGTCTGGGTGACATCAGGGGTGGCCCTCATTCCCCTCACTGTGGGCTCCTCTACCTTTCAGACCGGAGACGCTGGCTCCTGGGAGCAGCTGATTCGAGGTGAGTCAGGGCCCGGGGAGGGGACAGAGTGGTTCCCACGCTGCATGCCGCCGCCCTCCCCCCCCATCCCCACCATTGCCCAACACTATTTGGAGAACTGGCTACGGTCCCACAGGTGCCCCTCCCCCTGGCCTGAGAAGAGGAAGTTTGGGCCACTCAGGAAGGGTGGGGCTGGCACTGGGAGACAGACTCAGGGACCCCTAAAAGGTGCCAGCCCTGCGGGGGTCCAGAGCTGACCCTGACCTCACACTGCCTTCCCCTCTGACCTCTGACTCTCTGTCCCTAGAACGGCGTTCCCACCAGACCAACCCAGCCGCACACCTCACAGGTGAGGGGACTCTGGGGTCTGGGGGTTGGCCCCGGGAAGGGACATGTTGGGGTGTCTTGGGGAGACCAGGCAGACCCCTCTCATGCCTGGAGAGGTCCTTGCCTCCTCGTCACTGCTGTTTGGGACAATCCTCACTCACCCTCATGCAATAGATGTTCACAGAAAGGCCCGGGGCTGGTGGGGCGTGGGGGGGTTCACTCCTTTTAAATTCCATTCATTCCATGAAAGGCCTGTGTAGTGCTCACGATGAACGCTGGTGGTGTCGCAAAGGGTCAGCAGTTTGAAACCACCCGCTGCTCCTTGGGAGAAAGATGAGGCTTTTACTCTGGCCTGGAGGGTCGCTCTAAGTCAGCATCGACTCGATTGCAGTGGGTTGTGGGATGTTTTTGTCTCTTTGTGACGTGCCAGAGACCAAGTCTGCCTCACGGGTTAGTTTATCAAGCCCTGCGTAAGCTCCGCTAATAGCTCCCTTTCCGGGGAAGGAGACCTGAGGTTCCTGCACAAGGAAAGGCACGTCGTTGCTCCGCACCTCTGTGCACGCCCCCCTGCAAAGCCAGTGGTGCTGCAGGGGAAGCATGTAGCTGCCAACTGAACCCACTGACAATGGCCTCCGTAAAGATCGAGAGGCCGGGAAACCAAGCTTGTGGGATTTCCGATGCTGTCCACCTTTGCGGAAGCAGGCGGCCTCCTCTCCCCCCACCCCTGCAGCCTGGGAAACCCCAGAGGGCAGTGCTCCTGTGTCACAGGGCACAGCTGTGAACGGACACTGGCCCCATAGGACCCCGCTGCGCCTACAACAACAAAGCCTTTCTGAGCCTGAGTTTCCCCATTGGCAAATTGGAAAGGAAGGGGTTCACCTACCTAAAGTCTAGCACTGAGATGGGGCTCAGGGGTGGGTGGGGAGTGGCCTGGGGCCCTGTTGCCTGGGGCATGTATTAACAGCCTGCCCCCCCCCCCCATATCTCTCCACAGGGGCCAATGCCAGTTGGACAGCCACTGGGGGTCCACTGCTGTGGGAGACACAGCTGGGCCTGGCCTTCCTGAGGGGCCTGGACTATCGCGATGGGGCCCTGGTGATGTCCCAGCCTGGCTACTATTACATCTATTCCAAGGTGCAGCTGGGGGGCCTGGACTGCCCTCATGGAAAGGCCAGAAACTTGCCAGTCACTCACAGCCTCTACAAACGCACGCCCCGCTACCCTGAGGAACTGGAGCTCCTGGTCAGCCGGCAGTCCCTCTGCAGGCAGGCAGCCAGCCCCCGGATCTGGTGGGACAGCAGCTTCCTGGGTGGTGTGGTGCACCTGGAAGCTGGGGAGGAGGTGGTGGTTCGTGTGACCGAACATCACCTGGTCCGCCTTCGAGACGGGACACGGTCCTACTTTGGGGCGTTCATGGTGTGATGCCAGCGGTCGTAGAGGGTGCTTCCGGGGGACACCGACAGACCTTGGGGGAAATCTGGGGGACTCCCAAACTCAGCAGGTACCACCAAGGACCAAGCACAGAGCCGCTTGCAAGACTGAAGGATCAGAAGGCGCCTGCAGAGGTCCAGCCAAGGACAACCCTGAAATGGGATGCTCCCAACCAAGACTTGGGTGGGGTAAAGCTAATTTGCCTGATACTCAGGAAGAAGGAACCAGGGGCAGTTGGGGTGTTTATGCTTTTGAATCAGAGGACAGGGGAGACGTGAGGCAGTATCACCGCCCACCCCTGCCTCAGGAATGTGGGTTGGGGCAGATTCATCACCAGGACCCACTTCAGTGGAGAGATCCAGCCAGCGGCACCCACGGATCCAGTCACACCGTCGAGTCCCACCTACAGGCTGGTGGCCGTCCTCCAGCCTGCCATCCAGCGGTACGCTCAGAGACGTATGCCCAACAACGCCCTGGTAAAACATGTGACACCCACCCCCCTCCCGGAGGAGGCAGCTTTATGGTGTTTGCCAATTTCCCTGGTGTAAATACTCCCACCGTGGCCGATTTCCTGTGTGCCATCTCCCGAAGGCTTCAGGGCACCACGATGTCCCTCCAGAGCGGGAGTGCCACACAGTGGCCAGTCTGCTCCGCCGCATAGCAGACACATTGGAAATGCCTGCTGGTTGGAGGAAACCGCAAACAAAGACCGAGTCCCGCCCACAGCCTCACAGGCCATTGGCAGCGCTGCTCCACAGTCCCGGATGTCTCCCATCCACAGCCGCAGCCTCACACCCAACCGCATGATCACACGCATGTCTCGGCCACACACAACCCTCACTGCCACCCACAGGTCACAAGACAGTGCTCTGAGCACACAGATGCAGACACTACCTCATGGTCACAGCCATCACACATCGCCACACAGACACACACACACACACACACACACAAAAACACAGGGCAGCAGGACAGATGACAGGGTAGCAGCCACAGCTGCACGGGTCACACACCACCGCACCGCTGCACATGAGCGTTGCAAACACAGAGCCAAACAGGTGGGGCATGTCAACATCGAAATCACCGCCAGAAAACATTACCTCGGAGCCAAGTCCTTGCACACAGCCACACACAGGACAACATTGCAGCACGGCCTCGTGGTCACGCGTCTATGCACACAGTATCACACACGCACACACATACAGAGCTTGGCCCAAGGTTCCTCTCCAGCCAAGACCAACATACACCCAGGTGAGAACCAGACTTTGTCTCCAGCTCTTTGATCACTGATCCTTGAAATAAAAGCCACACATGTGCACCTGGGTCGGTCCAATTCTTAGGTGAAAGGTGGAGCTGAGTCACCGGGTCCCCAGGTCCCCAAGGAGAAGGGGAGGGTAGGACGGGAGTGGCGCGTCACCCCCAAACAAATTCGCAGCTGCTCACAGAAACAGAGGTGAGTAGTCATGATCCGGGAAGATCATTTCACAGATCAGGAACCTAAACCTCTCAGGCCCTACCCTCACACAGGAAGCATGGGGTTCACCAAAGACCTCATGCCCAATCTCTCTTCCGCTGAAACCCACCACCCCTGTTGGGAGAGAGGTCCCACCCTGCAGACATCCAGGGCAGCCGGAAGCTTGGGGTAAGTGGGAGCCAGGGAGGAAGGGCATCGGGGTGAACCAGAGGGGGATCATGAATTCCAAGCACATCAGGCAGCCTGTGCAAATGAGCGTGCACCGCCTGCGGCTGCAGTGGGGAGGTTCCCATTCTAGAGCCCTCGGATGAAGGCGCAGCTGCTGTAGGTGGATGAGTGGCGACAGGATCGCTGTGCCTGGTTTCGTGCTTGCCACAGGGAATGACAGGGGCGAGGAACACGGCTCTGTGACCCACTCTGCTGCGTCCCTCTTTGCCTCCAGCACCTTGGTGCTCTTGGATGTCTTTGCCTCCTCTTGCGTGTGATGGAGATGGAAGGAGGTCGGGTAGCTGGTGGTGGTGGTGGAAAGTAAGAGCTCGCTCAGGGTGCAGGATCTGGGGGTGATTGAGAAATAGTCACGAAGATTGGCCCAGCTGGGCAGCGTCCGCGGGGTAGGCCTCTCGTGAAACAGCCCCAGTGGTGCTGCAGTTCAAGTGCTCGGCCACTAACCCCAAGGTTGGTGGTTTGAGCCCAGCCACCGACGATATGTCCGTCTGCATCCAGGAGAGGCTTGGAAACGCTACGGGGCACTCTGCTCTGTCTTAGGGGGTTGCTGGGAGCCAGCTTCAACGTCGCTGGTGGGTTTGGGGGTGTGGTGGGGGACAGGGTCGTCACCGACTTGTTTGAGTTATAGGTTTCTGTGCAGACTTCAGTCCTGGGCAGAAGTATTGTCCCCTTGTCCCAGAAGGTTAGGAGTTTCCCACCTCCTCTCTTTACGGAGTGGGTGGGAGGTGGGACATCCCCAGGGTGCCTGGCCCAGCCCCCTCTGGACTTTCCTTTGCTCTCAGCACAGTTTTTCTATGAATTTTGAGGGGGGTAGACCGAGGGACGAGGACAGTGTGGTTACAAAAAGCCACCAACTTCCACCTGGGGATGGAACCTCTCGGCAGTTTCCGCTTTGGAGTGTCATTCCTGGAAGGGGTCTCCTAGCCATGAAGGGGGTGGGGGGGATGGAAAATGGAGGGGAAGGAGGGGGAGAGAGGAAGGAGGGGAGCATCGGGCACCCAGGCAGTAACAGGAGACCCAGACCTCAGTGTGAGTTCAGATAAACCGTGAGGACAGGAAGCCCCTAGGTCACGCCACTGACCTGTTTTTCAAGCTTCTGAGAAATGTGCCTAGGTGCTTTCCGCCTTCCTGGTCTGTGCTGCTGCAGCATCTTGTCAGATCTCATTCTCCCTCCCTGCCCCCGTGTCTTCCTCAGGACCTGAAGTGTGACATCCTCACCCCAGCGCCCACCCACCCCCACTAATCCACATCTATTGTCATCGAGCCCAGCCCATGTGGGCGCATAGAAACCCTATAGAATGGGGTCGAACGGCCCCTGTGTGTTTCCAAGACGGCAGCTGGTTCCGGGACTAGAAAGCCCTGTCTTTATGCTTATCCTGAGGAGTGGCTGGTGGTTGTAAACGTCAGACCTTGTAGATCTCAGCCCAACACATAACTAGTATGCCCACAGGAACACACACACACACACACACACCCCTTATCTCCTGCCAAGATCCAGAAGAGGCCGAGGTCGAAAGGGCGATGACAAACTACTTAATCGGTTTCATACCCTGTGTAGTGTCCCTCCTGCTGAAGGCCACTGTGTTCAAACACCTCGCCTGCCTTGTGTCAGGGAAACGGGCAGCCTAGGTTCAAATCTCCACTCTCTTTACCTCCCACCCAAGTGGGTGGCCATGGGCCCACCCCTGGGCTCTGCGCCTGGGCTTCCTCCTTGGTACCACAGGCTGAATCATGATGCTGGCATTGTCCTGGCTGGTGGAAGATTCAATGGCTGGAGCCATTACGTTGTCTTGCAGAGCCTGGCCCATGCTGGGCGCCGCCCAATCTTAGTGGATACTCTTTGTGTAGGTGTGAGTATAATCATGCCCACACATGAAACTCTGCTTCTTTTCAGTGATTGCATCCGTGGTGGTGATACCGCCATACATTACAGATAGCCACTGCTTTTTTTAAGTGGGAGTCGATATTTAAATGTTTTTTAAATGTTTGCACTTGGACTAAGCTAGATTTCTGGATTCTGTTAGAAAGCTAATAACAACCCAATGTCTTTGAGTGGGTTCTCTAGAGATATAAAACCAGTGAAGCTTATACATATGTATAATATACATACATACATATATTGTATGTGTATATCTAATATATACGTACATGTATTATATAATATATTCATATACATATATAATACTATATATAAGGTTTATATATAAATATACGTCAAACAAAAATATATTAAATTCCTTCTGGAAACTCAAGAGAAGAATCCATCCCTCCCCTTTTCCAGAGTCTGAAAGCCACCCACATTCCTTGCCCAGTGGTCCCCGAATCCACCTTCAAAACCAGCAGCTTAGGTGGGAGTGTAAAACTGTACAACCATTGTGGAGAGTGTTATGGTGCATGGCCCAGCAAGGTCTCCACGGTGTTGATACCCTCACGAAATAAGGAGACCAGCAGGAGCAGATGGATGCACAGCACGGTCCCCACAAGCCACCACTGGGTTGTCAGTGTGTTGCACTGTGGTGGTTTGTGTGTTGTTGTGATGCTGGAAGCAATGTCCCTGGTATTTCAAACGCCAGGAGGGGCACCCACAGTGAAGAGGTCTCAGCAGAGCTTCCAGACGAAGAGCAGACTGCAGGGAAGGAAGGGGCGGCCCCCTTTAGAGGATGTAGCCACTGACAACCCTGCAAACAGCAATGAAACGTTGCCCTGATACCGGAAAGAGACACTGGGCTTGGTAAAGCAGAGGGGCAGCAGGAGCGGAGGAAGACGCTCGGCAAGATGGATTGACCCGGGCCTGCAACAAGGGGCTGGACCCTAAGTTTTGAAGAAGGGCAGTGCTTTGTTCTGTGAGGTCAGTACTGACCCGATGGTACGAAGGACAAGGCATAGCAGCCAGAAGATGGAAGCAACCTAAACGCCCGCTGGTGGAGGAAATGGATAAAGAGCACTTGGATCAATGACGGATGAGCCCAAGGTCGGCACATGCACCCATGGAATTCAGCTCGCTGTTCAGACGTGGGGATGACATTGTCAAACCCCCGTGACGTTGATGGGTTTGGAAGACATTCTGCTGAGTGGAGTCAGTCACCCCCAGAAAGGCAAACACTGCTTGAGACTCTGCTACAAAAGGGGCGGGGAACTGAGGTTTGCCTATAAAAAGAAATAGCCTTTAATGGTGTGGAGGAAGCGGGAGTTGGCTGTCTGTTGTTGTTGTTGTTGTTGTTGTTGTTGTTGTTGTCCAGTGCCATCGAGTTGGTTCCGACCCACAGAGACCTGATGCGCAATGGAACAAAACGCTGCCCGGTCCTCACCATGGGTCCCATGCCTCAGCCCATTGAGGCAGCCACCGTGTCCACCCATCTGGCCGAAGGCCTTCTTTGTCCCCGCCCCTCCACTTGACCAGACATGATGTCCTTCTCCAGGGACTGGTCTCTCCTGACAGCACA